CTAAGAAGGTTTAACTGTAATTGTTAATGTTTAAAAGAAAAGAATTACATTATAATGATGAATTATTTGAACAATATAAGAAATAAATATAACTAAGGAAAGAATAATTAATGAAATTAAAAAATAAGAGTATTTTATTTTATACTTCAACATAATTACCTCTATTTGTATAGCACAATTATTAATTGAAATAATTGTATTTTTATTGTTGAGTAATAGTTCTAATAAGTAATATAAAGAGAAAATGGAACTATTTACTGAATGAGTATAAAGGATATAGTTATTAACTAATCTAAAATATAATTCATATTTTCAATAAATGAACATAAGTCCATAGAAATACTATTCATTTACAAATCATCCAAAAATGAATTTACTTGAAGATATAACCCAATTCAAAACAAATGAAATACAGTTAAAAACTACTATTTAAATAAGTTAAATACAATAATTATATGATTATACTAAACTGTAATAGTTAATAAAATTGATATATATTTATCAAAATAAATATAAATTAAGGTGATTAAAAATATAAGAAAATGTGTTTATAACAAATGTTGAAATAATAATCAAGATTGTTATTTCTAGAAATTTAAAAATATCTAGATTGAAAAAATATAACATATCATAGATAATTAGTTAAACAATGATGTTACCAAGTAAATATTATTTATTATTTATTAAGATATAACAATAAAATTGTCCAAGATAGATTTAAACTTATTTTTATTTCATTAGTTGAAAGTTAATTTCAATTTATGATATTAAATAATTTAATATGTTTTATAAGTTAGGTATTTAATTTGACACCCCTTTAAATAATATAGATGATGTTTATACTATTGCAATGATAACGTTCATTAATATATAAGATTCTAATATTAAATTAATAATAGTAATTCTACTTGGTTTTCATTTGACATAGTGATTAGTGTTGATATTTATTTATATTAGAATAATGAAATAAAAAAAATCGTGTCAAATGTAATCTAACTGACCAATGATAAATTAGATTATGATAATAATTTATTTAGATAACATTTATACATTAAAAATAATATGGATATAACAAAAAATACAAAGATGAAACTAGAAAATAAACGAATAATGAAGGAGTAGTATTGAATTGAAATAAACAAGTTAATGATAATAAAATACATAAAATAAATAAACAATAATAAAATAAAGAACAAAAACCAAATGAAAAAAAAAGAATAAAATAAATGTTTTAACGAATGTTCAAACGAAAATAAAATAATAATAAAAATAAGAAAATAAAGAAAATAATGGTAGTAAAGGAAAATGCATTAAATGAAAACTTTTTTTAAAGGATTAAATACTGTCTGTCTACAATAAATAACCCAACAAAATTTATTTCTAAAAAAAGTCAATATGAAAAGAAAAAAATAAAAAAAAGAAGGAAAAAGAGTGTTTTTGATTGTGTGGAAGGTGAAATTGAATTGTTAAACTAAAAATTAATAATCAAAAAAGGAAATATGCAGATTCATAGATACACAATATTCATTAATGGAAAAAAAGCTAATAAAAGCACTCAAGATAAAGTTGATTTTATAATCGAGTCATTAATTAAATGTAGAGTGCCACGGTGCTCCATAAAGATTTGCAATGTTAGTGATAATAAAGAATTTGAAGAAATGTTAGAAAGTACAGTTAATGGGAAGCCATACCCATTATTGTATTTGTGGGGAGAATTCTTTGGAACATATGAAGATGTTCAAACTGGAATCTTGGATGGAAGTTTAGCATTATCAGTACTTAATGACCCAAGTAGAATACACCAAGGAAAAAAGATTGGATTAATTCGACCTAAGTCTGAATTAGAAAATGCTAAAATTTATGAAGATTATATCCATCATGAAACAAAACAGGATATATTCAAAGATGGTGATATTATCAATGAATATCAAAATGATTCTGATGAAGAAAAAATGGTTGAATTAAAAGGATTTAATAAACAAGTTCAAATCAATAACGAAAGTTGGATTAGTGGAACTGAATGGTTACTTCGAGTGTTATCTGGAATGCTTTTTGTTCCTCTTATTCAACGAGTGTTTGAAACTAAAGAAATTAAAAAATTAGAAGGTGACATTGAGTTTAATGTTATTAGAACAAATTGGTATTGGAAACGTTTGTTTTTATAGATTGTTCATTAAATTTAAAAGAAATAATAAAGGAGTAGATCAAAAGAGAATCATTAGGTTTAGTAAAGATAAGTTTTATAGATTTAATGGAGACACTTTTAGAGAAGAGTTTAATTATGATGACATTTCTGATGTTTTTGTTAATGGTAAAAATATTGTTATTAACTTTAACAAAAACTCTTATTCTCAATTCATAGAATGTGATAAATGTGATGAATTTTTATCTGTTCTTGAAGACCATTGTCATTGTCTTACAATAAAAAAGGTTTAAAATCTAATAACCCAGTTGTTTGTACTATTTATGTCTTTTATTTTTTAATAATTTTGTCGTTGTTATTTAAATGACTTAAAATTTTGTTTCATTCTTTACTTTTTACTATTAAATATTTATTAACTTATTTGTGTCTTAAAAAGACATCAATTCAAAAGAAATAAAAGATGTTAAAGAAATTAATTCATTTACTTCTTAGCATAATGAAAACTTAATTATTGGGTTAGTCAAAGTTGATGTATTTTTTTCTAGAAATAAGAAATAATCTGTAAGATATTTGTACCAACATTTACACCATTTTTTATTTTTATTATTAAAATCAAAAATTAAGAAGAATAGAATTTTCAAAAAGAATATATTATTTTAAATGTATGGATGTTATGTGAATTATATTAAACATAAAAATAATTTATTAAAAGCAATATTTTTTTTATTAAAGTAAGTTATATTTAGATAATATAAAATGATAGTTACAATAATATCAAATAAAAATAGATAATAAAATAATCACATCTTCTAAACTACTAATTAGAATAATAATTAAGAAGACAAAATAAATTACATGAAATTAGTATCAAGAAGAGTAAATGGATGAAGATGATTTAATTTAATAAAAGAAAAATCGTTATCAACAATACCATTATTACATGGTTTAAAAGCAGACATAGGGTCACAAGTATCAATAGTATGTAATCCAAGTTTTTCAATTAAATATTTAGCGTCAATAAAAGATAAAATATTTGGTGTAATTTTAACAGTAGTTTCTTTCGCAAGACGTTGTTTAATTTCTTTAGATAAAGCTTTTGTTAATACTCCAACAGATTCTTTCTTTATAATAATTCCATTTGGAGCTTTATAAGATTTCCAAGTATAAAAATTAAGTGTTTTAGTTGTTACTTTTTGAGCAGAAACTTGACAAGTAAGAGTAAATCCATTCATAAGAAGTTTATATGCTAAAAAATTTGAAAATGCAGCTTCTTTATTTTTTGTTCTTCTTTTTCCAACTGAATTAACTACATATTCAGATGACCTAACTTTAAAATCATCACTTAGAACTTTAATTAATTCTGGATTTTGACGAATAAGTTCTATTTCTGCTTTAACTACTTCTTTTGTTAACGTCAATGTTGTTTCATAACTTGCTTTTGCTTTCTTCCATAAAGTACGAACAGCACATTCAAAGAAATACGCATTTTCTAATATGTCATTTATTGAATATTTTCCATCAAATGTGATTGAACTTCCAACAAAAACTTTTTTTGCTCTTGACGTCTTTTTAGTTTTATCTATTGTAACTTCTGCACCACAAATAAATGAAAGAAGAAGTAATTCTCTATTACAAATAGCTCTTTTATTTCTTCCTTCTCTTTGTTTAAGTGCTTCACTTGATATTCGAGGATCAGTCATGAAATAAAAATTATTAAAAAGATGTAAATTAAAAAGATAGAAAATGATTGAGTTGTTCTTACATGTAAATCAACTTAATGCACTATTATTCAAATCCTTTTTTCTTAGAAATTCAATGAATGAACATTTTTTTCAACTTTGAATATTCTTCTTCTGGTCTAGAACAAAAAGAATATTAAAAAGAGACTTTTTTAAATTAAGAACATAAGAATTAGTATTAATGGCATATTTCTTTTTAGTTTCTTTTCCATATTAAAACCATATTCCCTTAAAAATATTCTGTGAAATACTATCTTTGACAGAACGTCACGAAATTAAAAATTCTTTTAAAGTTAGTATTAGTTGCTACAAATTCTATTAGAACTTTTACTTATTATTATTTCTTTTAAAAAATATACAAAAATGATAAGAATTTGAAAAATATATCTAATAATTTATCTACTAGTTATATAACTTTCATTCAATAATACAAATTACTTTTTAATTAGACTAACCAAATAAATCATAGACTTTAAAATTAGACTCTAATTTTTTTTAATTATGTAATAAGTGTGTATTAATTAATGTGTTGTGTTTATAACATAAGTTTCAATAAAATACTTTTTAATAAATTATTATAACTAAAGAAATAAAACCAAAAACAATCAATTAAAATTCCATTATTTTATTTTCATTATAAATTGAAGTTTTTTAATAATTCTAAATGGTTCTTCAATTGAGGTTTGTTACAACGTTATAATGAACATCAGTCATAATTTAAATTTATATTGACACCTTAATTCTTACTATTATTTATTAAATAGAAATATTAACCTTTTCTTTCCTATCATAATTGTAAAAAATTGATAGTGTCAGTATTACTCCTCCTATTGTTTAAATTGAGGGTTGAACCTTTTTTAATCTCTAGTGGTTTGTAATTTATCATTTTATAGATATTTTTGAAATAGTACTTGATTTCCTTTTTGAGGAGTCAAAATATGTTTTACTTATTTCTACATTTCTGATAAAATAAAAATCAATTGTGATATTTTTTAACCATTGACCAAAATTCTCTCAGAATACCTAAAAATATTTCAAAGTTTTTTGTGGTGATGAAAAAAAATTCATTTAATACAAAAAAAAACATTTAAAAAAGAGAAACTTAAAATAAGTGTTTTATGAAATATTTATTGATATATATTTACTTATTAATTTTGGTTAATGCTCAAAATACATGTACTAACAGCAAATGTAACGAAGTTGATTATGTTATTCATGAACAGGGCGTTGAAGATGAATCAGATCAGTACTGGGAAGACATTATTAAAATATTAAAAGACATCTTAGGAGATAATTATGTATATATCATAAATGATGGAGATAGTCCAAAAGAAGTCTTTAGAAAAATTGGTAATTTTATAAATAACAATTGGATGATAAGATACTTAAAAAAAGCTTTTGAGACATCTATCGAGTTTAAAGGGTTATTAGTTGATTTTTACACAACATGCAAGACTGGAATAAAAATGCAAACAGAAACAGATAAAGATAAAATGAATTCAATGAAAGTCCAACTAAAAAAATCACTTGAAAGCATTCGAGCACGAGTAAATTTATTTAGGAATTGGTTGGACAAAACAGGTATAAAAGAAAAGACTCAAAAAGTTGTCACTTCTGCATCAACCATACTAAATAAAATGATTGGTTTTGGAGTTACTAAAATAACTAAATTAACAAAAGACACAAAGAAATGGGCTAAAGAAAAAGTTAATGATTTAAAAAGAAATTTCTATAATGAATATTTTTAGTAATGGGTTGTTGGTTGTGTAATTGACAATTTATTTTGTTTTTATTTAAGATTAAGACTTTAAAAAATTAATATTGAAATTAATAACTTGAATACTTTAGACAAATTCATTTACATTTTTATACCTTTAAAGCAACATTAATATTAAAGTTTTGAAATAATTTTCTCTAAAAAGAAGGAAAAAATGTATTTAAGAAAATGGAATAATTTTACTTTTTATATAATGAAAATCTAATTTATGAACATTTTTAATTATTAATTTTATGGATTTATTTGAATTAACGTTAAATTATTTATAGATTGTTTTGAATGAAATAAACATCATTAGTACTTGTTCAAACAGTAAATATTGATAAATACATATTCTTTATAGTATTAATGAGTATATTCTTATTGTTATAAACTTAGTTTTATTATTTTCATTATATTTGTTCTTGATTTATTTTTCTTTTATTAAAATATCGTTTGGTTCTTCTGTTGTTATAGCTTCAACACTTTTTTTCGTTATAAATAAGAAAAGATAAATGATGGAAATTAAATAAAATTTAATTTATAGAATAAGAAGTTATTCTCTTTAAGTAGAGATACAATAATTATTTTGATTATTATCATATTCTAATATTCTTTGTCTATCAAATTATTAATAGAATAATAGTTATTTATTTAAATTTTTTCACTTAATATACGATGAGTCAATGTTTATTTAAAGACAAAAAAAGATTTAAAATAATATAGTTAATTAATTAAAAAGAGAATTAGAAAGTTGATAATATAAAGATATTTTGAAGAAATAACCTTTTTTTGTTCTATTTTTATTTTTCTCTTTTTCAAAAAAGAAGTACAAATAATTAATAAAAATCAAGCAATTAAAATACAAAGTATCTAAGATAAGAGAAAAGATAAAAAAAAAGAAATAGAAAAATAGAATGATATTAAAACTAAATAAAAACTACAATACAATGAAAATAAGAGAAAAAATGAAAATTAAAAAAAAAGAAAAATAAAAAAGAAGAACAGAGAAACGAGGAACTATAATTTTTTCAAAATTTCCTTTTAAAAAAGAAAAAAAATGGATGGAGGAAATGAAAATATTATTCTTGAATTACCTGAAGGATATGATGTTAGTAATGGATTTGAGGTAATGGACTGTAATTATGAGAAACCTATTATTCGAATTGGAAGTAGTTATTTTGAAGCTACTTTAAAAGAAACAGAAAATTCAGATATTGTCTTTGACCTAAATGGTAAATCAAATTCCATTTCTTGCCAAAGGTACGTTTGTAACCTTATTGATATTCATACGTTCCAACCAATCAAACACGACCCTTAAATTGAATTGTTTGTTGATTGCCATCATTTCATTGATGTTATTTTAAATAAGTTTCATGAACTTTCTCTTTTTCTTCTTTTTTTTTTTTTTCTTCTTTTATATCAAAATTGATTTTATTTCATGACATTGATCTGTTTTAATTAATAATTACTTCTTATGGGTAATAACCAAAGTGTTTTGGAAAATCCTGAACAATCTATACTTCTTACAGACAATCAACTAAACCAAATACTTGACACCCTTAAACGACCTACAGTAAATTCATTATTAGCATTACTAAAATCTCCTCAACTATCATTATTTCAAAGAATAGATCAACAACAACGAGATACATTAGAAATTACAGTAAATACTTCCTTAGATCTTTTTGCATCAAGAAGAACATTTAAAGAAATTAATTTTGAATTATTTAATATACTTGTGGTTGCTGTAGCTTTTGTTAAAGGGTTAACAGTTTGTCAAATGATTGAAACGTACTATAATATATTATTTAATGCAGAATGTCAAAAACAACGTTATGAAAAAGGAGAAGAGGCTATTGAGAAAATCGTTCAATTATTTATTTCTTTAAAGAGCATAATTCAAAGTAATATCATTATAACTTTAGAGGAATCATTTAAAACAATAATAAAGCCATCATTACCACAACAACCTCTTATTGTATCAACAAAATGTTTAAGTAGTATTACTGATGATTTTATTAAAAATATTAATGATATTTTAAAAGAATCGCTTAAATTATCATTAACTGATAAATGGAATATTAATTCTGTAGTTAAAGCAATTCATTCATTAAGCGAATTTGAGAATTCAGAACATTTTGAAATAGTTAAAACATCACAATTATTTAAAGAATACGGAGATACAAAATCAAAATTAATTTCAAAATATATGAAAGTTGAAGAAGAACACCTTGAGTTTATTATTACATCGATATCACAACATTTAAGTGAACTTAATTATCTTCAACAAATAGATGAATTTTTCTTCTCTGTTTCAAGTATTTTAAATAATGGACTTCTTTCAAACAATTCAATGATTATCCAAACTTTTATTCATAGTTGTGAAATTTATATATCTTCATTTTATATTGTTTGTTATTTTGTTAATTCTTTATTACCATTTTTATATTCATTTCTTTTTAGACTCTCAAAAAAATTAATTTAGAATCAATTCAACAAATAAATTCATTAGTTCAATTTAATAATAATTTAAGTCTTATCATAACGACAACGGCTCAATCAATTCAATTAATCAATGAAAGATATCATTTAAATTTATCTTATGAACTTCTTGGATATCATAAAAATCTTGAACAATCTTCATCATTATTACATGAAACTATAAAAAAATATATTTTAACATTCAATGACTTATTTAAACAACCTCTTAAAAGTGTTGAAGAAATTAATTATAAAGTTGAACCTACTGATGATCTTACAAAAAATATTTATTCAATGGAGTTATTTATTCAAAAGATTAAAGAAATTGTAGACACAAAAATTGTTTGTTTCTATTTTATTTGAAAGGAGATAAACCATTTATTTATATTATATTAGGATGGACTAGAAAAACAAACACAAAAAAATATTGTTAGTGGATGTACAGATTATATAGTCAAACAACTTGAATTTCTTGTAAGAAAAAAATCATTTACTCAATTTGGAGCTTGTGAATTTATGAAAGATGTTTGATTTGTTTTTATATTTTATAATAATTCTTAATATTCACTCTTTTAGTTACAACAAATTCAAAGTCTCTTTAAAAGTTATGGAGTTCCACTTCAATGTTTTGAAAAATTAAAACAAACATCTACAGTATTATGTCTTGACCAAATTGAAGATATTACTAAATATTGTTCTGTTAAAGGATGGAAACTCTCGTCTTTAGAAATAAAACTTATAATGACTTTACGTGTTGATTTTAGTAAACAAAAAATTCGTTCTCTACAATTATAGTAATTGATTTAATTGATTTAAGTTGGTGATATGGCTATACAATACTTCTGTACTACTTAGTTCATTAATTTTATTTTTAAAATAATATCCTAATTAAATAAAAAATTAATATATCTTTAGTTTCTTTATTTGTTCTTATTTTTTTGATTTTTATTTCATTTCTTGTTCTATGTCGATAAATAATAATACCAATGATATATCTTTTCCTTTTCTTCTATTTCGTATTTTTGTTAATAAACAGATAATTTATTAAATAAATTAAAAAATGACATGAGGCTATTTGAATACTATCGAAAATAGAAGTGTGTCAATAAGGAAAGAATGTTAAGAATAGTAATTATGAAAGAAATAATACAACTTATGATTATTGTTATGGGAATGGATATTCAAAATGAAATGGCTAAGAAAAAAAAAAAGCAGAAGAAACAAAAGAAATACAGAATATAATGATGAGAGAATTGACTATAAATGGTAATGAAAAGAATGATGTAATGAAATAGATGAAGAATATATGAAATGAAGAAAAATAAAAATGTATAAACAATAAAAGAGATATGAATAGAAATAATATAAATATTAAATAAGAAGAAATGACAGAAGATAAGTAAGAAATAGAAATAAAAATGTTGTGATAAAGATAAACAGAATAAAAAATAAAATAATAAAACACGAATAGAAGAAATAAATAAAATGAACAAGAAATAAGAAGAATGAATGATGGATAGTTGAAAAAAGTAGAAAAAGATGTGATTAATATCTCTTTATAATAAAATAAATGATTAATAAACACATTCAAAAATATCAAGAATTGATGAAAGAATGAAAATAAAGAAATAAAATATTCAAATAAACAAAATGAAAGTCATAAAACTAACAAATATATTAATTTTGATTCAACAATAAAACACTTAATCTATTATTAATATATTCAAACAAAAACTCTTTGAATATTCATAAACATGTATATAACACAGAATGTTGAAAAAAACATAAATAAAGAGCAAGAAGATGAATATACAAGAAGAAAATATAGAATTAAACATATAATTCAAC